AGCCTCCGCCCGCACAGGCTGGCACGTGAGGGGGGCACTGGCCAGAGCAAGTCCCCAGGGAAAGGGCCTGTCCCACCCGCGGCAAGGCAGGAGGTGGCGTGGGGGTCCCATCTATCGCTGTGTTTAAGCACTCCCCTTCTTCCACACCCCCTACGGGTCCCCCCGGGGTTGTGGAGCTATGGTGCACCACGGGCAGTCTGTTGGCTCATGGGCTGATGTGGGCCGGCAGCAACCTCCTGAAATTCAACAAATTCCTGCGTCTCAATGGAAAAAAACCCAAAAACTCACATGGCCCGTCAGTCCAATGGCACGCTCTGGTAGAGGAGCGGGGACAGCACTTTCTGGGCCGTGTGAGCCCGAGGGCAGCCTGGGGACCTCTTGGACACCTGGAGAGCTTCGGCCAGCTCTGGCCTCCCCGGTACAGGACATGCTTGAGCGATCCTCGTGCAGGCACACGGCACGGAGGAGAGGCCGAGGGATGGGCTTGCTCAGCCTCCAGGAGAGGAGAGGAGAGTTTGTTGCTGCCCACAGCTGCCTCGGGGGAGAGAGGAGATGGAGCCAGACTCTTCTCGTGGACGCACAGGGACAGGACAACAGACACAGTCCCATGCGGTGTCGGGGGGAGCGTTTTCAAGGTGAGGGTGGTCGAACACTGGAGGCATTGGGCACCTCGGATGTGCCAGCTTTGAGGATCAGCACTTGGAGGCACACCTGGGTGGCCCCACTCCAGGCTCAGCCCACCTCAGGCTTCCTACGGAAAAGGCAAGCAGTATCAAAACTAAAAGCCCTGGGTACCAGCACACCAGAAAAGAGGTTTTGGAGCAGGTGCAGTAGTGCAGGGCACATCCTCCACCCCATCTCCTCCTCAAATGAGCTTGGGCGAGAAGAGCAGCAGCGCAGCCACATCTCACAACCCGAGCCAGGCAGCTCGGGGAATTTCCCTTTCCTCAGGAACTGCAGCTCCCAGAGCAGCCCCTGGCTTCACCCGAAATGCTGGCAAAAGGGAGGATCCGCAGGGCTGCTCCTGCAAGGTTTCACTTACCCTGCAGGGGCAGGGAAGAGACACCAACACGCACCCCCCTCACCCCACAGCCTGGGCACCAGCGCTGAAGGTGGTAAGGAAACAGGGACTTTCCAAAATATTGGTTTTCAAGTTAAGTATTTTTATTATCAAAATTATTACATCTCTTGTGAAAGTTCAAATGTTACAGCATGGTGTAAAAACTCCACTAGAGTAAGAAGCTACAGCCCCCACCTTTCCAAGAGCTTTCCAGGGTCCCTCCCTCCTGCCCCCCTGCTGCGCCCAAAGGTGCCGGAGGCCCTGGGCAGGGCCCCCCGGCTCCCTCCTGCCGCCTGGCAGGGCAGAGCCTGCCTGCCCCGTGCTGTTCAGAGCACGAAAGGGGAGGCTGCACCTCCAGGGCTAAGCCGAGTGAAGTTTACACCTATTTTATACAGTATACAGACACCCAACTGCGGGGTGACAAGTTCCATCCCAACACGCTCACAGCCAGACAGTGTGAGAAAGTTACTCTTTGTTTCAATATTTTAAAAGTCTCCCCTAGGTTGAACAAACACCTGATTTCAATTGTGAGTTAGAGAAACCTGTAACAGTCCTAAAAAAAGGAAGAAGACTGTGCATCTGAAAAGACAGGGGAGACAGACTCACAGCATTATGTTATCCAAGAGAAAGGAGAAGTTCCACTGCAGCACCAGGGATGACACCTGTCGTATATTAGCTAACCTACTATGGTTATAACTGAATATAAAATTAGATAAATAAAAACACGCCCGATATTACAGTAAACAAGTGAGAAAGAAGCTGGCAATCGTATGGAATTGAACAGACAGCGCACTGTGTCTGGGCTGGCTCTGCTGCCACGCTCGGCAGGTGACAGCGGCTGGGAAAGACATCCCGCGCAGCACTGCACGGAGAGCGTCTGGCTCGGCACAGACGGGGGTCCCCACCGAACACCTAACCACTACCCCTCTGCAGCCCCCCGCTCCTCAGCCAGGCAGCCCCCCGCATGCCGCAGCATCACTTTGCTTATCAGGCCCCTGGTCACCCCCCAGCATGTCTGCGCACCGGCAGCCAGAGACGCCCCCGGCGTGGTGGCATGTGGCAGCACCGCCCCAGCAATGCTCCCGTTCACAGACCTGCGACGGACGCGGCGATCGCGCCCCGTCGGAGCAGCACGCGACAGTGCATCCCAGATCCTTTGCAGCGACAGGCACACACACTCCAACCCCTCCGTGCTAGTTCACATTTGCGGAGATTCTGCTGTCCTGGGAAAAGCTCCGACTGCGGCAGTCATGACCCAGGCCCAAAGGCAGCCGTGTGCGCTCGTCTGCTTGTGACTGGAATGATCGTAACGGATTAAAGCCCTCCCCAGAACGCACTGAGAACCTGACCTATAAAGAGAGCTTTGGGATTGGAGTTCAACTTCCCCCAATGTTTCCTTTAAACTGCTTTCGTATTCAAAAAGATGTCCGTACTGCATGAGTGACTATGGCCATGGGCACGGACAAGAGACAGAGGCTGCACCACAGTCATTGCACTTGAACCATTTGCTTTTTTTTTTTTTCTTTTTTGCAATGTACCCACACATCAGGGAACAGCTTTGCTACAGTCTCTGCCTCAGAGAAATCTGCGTTCTCCTACAAGGCCAGAGGCCAATACTGCTCACAAATCTCACCCGTGCATTTCAGACCTCAGCCTCTGACCCCTGGCACCCCAGCATCAGGTGCAAGCTCCCAACACTGGCCCAGGAGCCACTTCCAGAGGTGACTGGAAGGAGCTATGGGGAGTTTTGTCCTCCTGGAGTCCAGGCAGCCCTAGGAAAGTCCTGTCTGAGTCTTTACTCCAGAACCTTGAAGCTGCTGAAGTCTGTACTGATGGACACTGCTTCCCCCGCGGTGTGGATAGTGTTGTGCATTGGAAATCACTGCCCCCCGGGAGCCCTGGTAGAGAACAGACTGCCCAGAATTCGGTAGACTGATAGTCCGCAAGTCTGACTGTAGTGACCTAGCACTTTGGGGAGCGGAGGTGGAGCCCGGCGCGCCTGTGCAGGGCTGAGAGCCCGACTCAGAGGAAAGAGAGTCCACAGCCGTCTGCTGTGCTGGGCTGGCAGCGGCAGGGGAGGGCCTCTTCCAGGCCACCTCTTCTCCAGGAGCCTGCCGCTGACACTGCCAGAGTGCTGCTGGCTGCTGTAATACCCCGAATTCCCTGCAAACAGGGCAGAGGAGTCTGTGGAGACCGAGTGGGCAGGGCTGGAGTACGAGGTGGAGGAGAGGGATGTTTCCGAGGAGCCATGAGAGAGACTGTGTGCTGTCCTCTGTGCTGCTGCTCGATAGCTGTACCCAGGAGATGGAGTAAGGTGTCCTCTGTAGGGGGAGGAACTCTGCTGGAGAAGGGTCTGCGATTCTGCCTGGGGACTGTCAGACTGCAGGAGCTGAACAGGTTGGTGGGGAAAAAAAAGAAAAAGCACGTCAGACTGACTTCCCCGTTTCCTACCTCCTTCTCATGCCAAAGGTGCTTAGTGCAACAGGATTGGGAATAATTGGCAGCCAAACCCAGTTTCCCCCCTAATCCTGTTAAAGCTGCAGTTCAGGCAGATAATGTATGAAAGAATTTACCTGGTAGCTGTATCGAGAAGGACTGTAAACTGCTGGTCCTTTGTGGGCTTCTGGAGTGTCTCCTTCTGCTGTGTCTGCAATGTACAGGCAAGATGTTAAACCTCAGTCTCTGGGCTGAGGCCACAGCAGTTCCCTCTCAAATGACACCTGCACACACCCCAGCCGTCTTGTTCTGCATCCAGCTACAGCTGAGACAAGAGCGGCTTCTCCAGCCATCAGCCTTTCAGAAGCTGAAGAACCCTAGCAAAAGGCAACTGGAAAACCTTAACATGCATAAATCAGCCATACATGTTAGGAACTGCTGCTTCCCTTACCCCAGTTCTCTCTCGTCTAGCAGAAAGCTCACCTGCCTTGGACCAGCCTATCTGAACGGCTGCACCTGGTGACACCACACAGACAGCTTGTGCTCCCTTGGCTTTCCAGAAGGAAGAAGAGGCAGAAGACATTTTCTAAGGACTCAGCAATTCTCCACTCAGCCTTGGTCACAGGAATCCACACTGGCTACAATTACTGCTGGGGAGATAGAACTGTCTCTTCTTAGATGGTTGTCAGCAGGATCCTGCTGCAGGTTTTCCTCAAAGGCAGATCCAGACACTGCCGAAGACTCAAGTCCCATGCTGCCAAGGCTGACAGCACCCCTGCTGCCATTTTGGGGATTATGCTTTACAAGTCAATTGAGTGGCTCCAAACGGAGTTACTCTTAGACCTCAGAAATGCCAGTTTCAGAAACAGGGCAAGATGATGAAAATGCTTTGAGGCTTGAGGGATAACAGCAGCACAGTACACACTGATCCACCTTAGTTACCTGAGAGATCAAGAGGAATAAGCTGCTGCTTGAGGGATCAAGCCTTTCTAGCACCCATATCTTATAGGGTGGGTGAGCTTCTTGCCCTCCCAAATAACTGAACCTGAACTGGGGTAGGCAAGAAGTACTTACTGCAAGTGACCCAGCCACTTTGCCACGTTTTTCAGTTGCCACTACTATAACCATGGGGTTACAGCTGGCGATCGTGCTTTCGTTAGGAGGGAGTGAAACTGGTGGGACTAGAAGATCTCACATCAGAGTTATGTTGCAGTCTAATGAGACAGAGCTGTTTATCTGCAGCATCTCAGGGATTCTCAGCAGCCGTGTTTGAAATGCCTTGGTGAAACAGTGTCGGTATTAATATCAAATTTATATGACAGATGTGTCTCAGTCATGAAACAGGACACGCTGCCTTAGTCTGCTCTGTACTTCCGCCAGACAGGTCTGGCTTTGCACCAGATGCACTGGCACGAGCACCAGTGTCAGCAGTGCCCATGGCTTTGCTGCAGTTGTCCTCTCTGTGCTACATCACAGTTGCTGGCTTAGCTAAACAGGAATCTGGACGGAGTTGTCTTGTCTGCTCTTGAGGTTCAGAAGCCTTCTTCCTCAGGGCACAGGACCTGCACAGAGACCGGGGCGTGAAGCTTCCAGCGCGTGTCCTGTGCTGCCTTCCATTTTCTGAAACTACATCTGATGCATCAAGTAGCTGTTTGCTGTAGGTGACATTCCAAGTACTGCACTGCAGAGAGGCAAAACTCGAAGTTTGGGGCATGTTTTGTTAAGCAGTCATGCACAGAACCGACTAACTGTTCAACCCAGGAGATTGTTCTCATTAACAAGAGTAGGAGAATCAGAAGAATCTAAAGATTTCTGGAAGAAATTGTTTCTTAAAAGGCCAGGCACACCAGCAGGGCTGCACAATTTACTGGCAGTGCCTGTGCACAGAAAAAACCTTGACAAGTTAAAGAGTATTGACAGACTCTAAATTACAAAAGGTGAATAAACTATAACCTTCCTGAATTTGCTTTATGTAAACTTAGAAGATAAAGCCAACATTTCCCTCCCCCATTTCTTAATACCTGCACAAGGAAGGACACAAAGAAGAACTGCTTTTCTTGGCAGTACTGGCCTGTGTCAACCTAAAGCATATACGAAGTGACAGCTTTAACTGAGAGCAGCTGCAATTCTCACAAGTGTGGCATGCACACAAATTCCATTTCATTCCTACATGCCCCATCAGCACACCATCCAAGTTTGGGGTTTTTAGTTCTCCTCATATTATTATCTGTTACAGCATCAAGTAAACGTGTATCTTCACAACTCCTACAGGTGATACCAGGAATGGCAGGGACTCAGCCACTCATTTCTTTCACTAAGAAGCAGACCAGCAACAGGGGGAGGGAAGGTGGCTCGCAGAATCTACACAAGCAACTGAAGAAACTGCCAGAATATGCAAAAGAAGAAAAAAATATTTTGCTGCGCTAGGATGAAAGAGACAAAAAGACTGGTCAGCTAGAGCGTTAAGTTTTTGCAACCTGGAGTGAGATGGGTTTTACCTAACAGGGAAGAAGAATGGACCAAAGTAGCTGAAAGTCTGACTCCAGCCTAACTCTTGGGTGAGACTGAAAAGCCAGAGCCAAACAGATTACAGTGGGCAAAAGGCCTGTTGCGAGTCTGGATTTTGCCTACCCTTCTGAAAAATAATGACCGAGAAAGCCACTTCCACTGGTATGAAAGATAGGATACAGGCTCCCAGTGGGGTCCCATGAAACCGGTGAAATTTTTGATAGGGTGGAGGATTCCCTCTCAAGACTACATGAAGAAAAGGCATTGAAAAGAGATGCGCTTAGGTGTACAAAGATAGCAAAATCCCAGATGACAGGCCAGTTTTCAGAAAGTGCTCCCAAATACACCTTACTGCAAGTGGGGAGAAAGTCTGATTTGGAGTGAAGTAAATACCTACTCGCCCTAAAATGCTCAGAAATGAGACACCCCAAAGGCAAAAGTTGCTGCTGAATTACCCAAAGAGCGCTCTGTGCTAGCCTGGGCTAGAGGCTCTAGTCTTTCCATGTCTAAAATACCACACGATTAGGTTCTGGCTTCCAGAGATTCAGATCCCTACTACAGATCATCAGCCAGCTGTAACCGTATCAGCCAGGAGTCTCCAACAACAGTTCTCAGCTATGAGGGAGCAGCAGCTGATGGCAACACACAGACTGTTATTTAAATGTGATGATCCATCCCTGTAAGTCCCAAGTGCGATCAGGGTTCTGAGGGCACTATGTTAGAGAAAAACAATCATGTTCAACAGAGACTGCAAAATAAATAAAAGAAAAATAACTCCATTTCACAGCTGAGAAATTAGGCAATGATGAAATGATCTGTCCCTCTCAGAGAAAGTCACATCTCACCTTTAGACCACAGATGGATAAAAGAGGGGTATAATTTCAGCTCAAGGTACAAATACTCGCTAACCCTGCATGCTACTTGGTGAGGACAACGCTTTATTCAGAGAAGAAAGGAACACCAACACAGAACTGAATTCATCTCAGTAAGGAGGTACCATTTCACAAAACTGACAAATATCGTAACTCAGGGAATCAAGTAATTTCAAAAAGAGCTGACGTAAGGCTTGGAAGCTAAATTAGTTCTTAGCACTGCCTAAAGCCTACACCTGCATTTTAGTGTGATAATACATTTATCTCTGGATGTTCAGCCAACTGGAATTATTAAATGATAGCACTTTCATCCCCAGTACATAGGGGCAATTGAGGCAATGCTGCTTAACCCATCTGTCCAAGGACAAAGAAGCTGTCCCTGCCAGAGCCAAGATGCAGGTAGTCTTGAATCCAAACCCTGGAGAAACCTGGAGGTCTTCCAGGTCTAACAGAAGGATATAGGCTCAGGCAATATCTGAATAACAATAAAGTATGGTTTGCAGAAGGCTCTTATGAGGCATTGATAACGTTAAAGATGAAGGTACAACTAACTTCATGGATAAGTTTGCAAAGTTATCTGAGCCCATCATTTCCCACCAACCAAGTGTTCAAAAGTTTCACCTTCCTACCTGCATCTCTCTCAACAGCACTGTCACAGGTAGGTGAGGATTCATTTCTCTGGGATACCTTTGCGCCACTTCGCAGCACCTTCTCAAGTATGCCTCGGCCCTCTCGAAGCCTCTCCACTGACGTTGGGACCATCCTGCAACAAAAACCCGGTAACAGCTGAGGATTGCTATTACGCAGCCGAGAGCAACGTGACCAACGCACAAGGGGGCTGTGGGGTCCTTGGTATAATCACAGCACAGGTTTAAGTTTCTGCTTAAATTCATTGGTATGATGTTAGTGCAAATGCAAACCTCTAACATAGAAAGGAGGGATCAGAGACCACCAGCTCTCTAGACAGATGAGGAATAAACTTCTGAACTGCTTCTGCAATGTAAATAGCCTCCTGTGGGATTTTAGACTGCCAGTCACTGGCTACCATGATAGCACTGCCCTCAGAAATAAAAAATCTTTACTCTTATCAAAAACATGGTATAAACATCCAGTTCAGTAGATCACCTGATTACAGGACACCTTCTCCTAGAAAGATTGTTTCGAGATTCGACAGCATTTTGAAAATCCTAGTATTGTTTTAAAATTAGATGCAGTTATTTTGCATAGATTACTTTTATTCAAACTAAAAAGTAGCAAAACCAATACCTTTATGATAATACAATGTCAAGATAGTACAGTCAGATCATGCAACGTTCCTGGAGCAGAGCTAGGTTGGCCATTTTGCCCATTAACGCTACTTTTTCCCATTTATTCTGAAATGTGAAAACTCTCCGCTCAAGATTAGTGCGAGATCTTGTTTCAATATATATTACAAGTGCCTAGTCTGAGCGTGAAAAAACTCAGGTGAAGTGGCTTTCCTAAAGCCAATATGTAGAAGAAAAACAGAGCCAGAGACAAACCCCAGACCCGTGGGTCAATATTCAATCTACCATGCACAGGACCATCCAAATCTCTTTAGAAATATGTGTTCTAACCTATAAGATAGTAGCACCTTCATCAGGGATTCACAATGCCTTTACCCTAGACACTGAAGAACACGCGCCTTAAAAATGCCTGAATTTAAATATTTAGTATAATATTAAATGCACTGCATACCACATAAGCATGCAGCTTAACACCATAAATAGATTTCTGTATTTAGCTTTTTGTTTTTAAAAGATATATTTAAAACTGTGCTTTACATTAGCTTGTTTTATTTCCTTTTTTTTTTTTTTTTTTTTAAAATAAATAGCCCAGACATTAAAGTTCACCCCTCACTGAGGCAGAAGGGAGAAGGAGGCCAGAGTTCACACCTCATGGAGGTGAATGGGGTGAGGGGGTGAATTCACACCTTCGTTGCTGCTATTGTTTTGCTGGAGACAGTTTTCTGCAAGGCTGGGTTTACTGGGCAGCAGCACATCTGTTTACATTGTGATGGCTGTATCTTGGCAACTGAAAGAGACAGAAACTTAATTTTTTTTAAATGAAAGCTATTGGCAAATATTGTAGAATTCAGCAAAAATCTGGACAACTCTAAAAATTAAGGCACGTAATTTTAGTTCCCACCATTTTCTTCTGTCCCTAATATTATATTACTGTGAATGTCTGGAAATGTATCTGAAATGTAAGCACTCAGAGTTAAAGATGAAATTGGGTCATGACTTTAACTCAGTAACATGCAGTTTCTAATATATTTTTTAAAAGTAGAAGGGGACTGTACGTTTGTTAGCCTTGCCCATTAAAACACAGAAGAACAAGAATTTAAAAGGCAGAAAATCTGCTTAATCCCATTTCAAAATGTATCAGCATGGTTTCAACTTTATATCCAGCGTCCCATAACAATATGATCTTTATTCCCACACAATACTTACTCGTGAAACCGTGTGAGAAACTGAATCCGGAGCACCTGCTGAGGAGTAGCAGATGAAGCTCACAGAATACAAAACATTGTACTAGAGCAAGGTTGCCACACTGACACCTCACCCTGAACTAGTTTTTTTTTCATTTAGCTACGTTTTTCTTTCACCCTTTTGCAGGCAGAAGGAAGTGGCACAGGAGAAGGGCATGGGATATCAACACTTGCACAGAATAATATTTGATTATAAAATAACGATTATGAACTAATCATCAGCTGATGGCTCAGCTGTGGCCAGTCCCAACATATGGCAGAAGGCCACCTGGTAGACAGAGTACTGTCAGAGAGGTAAGGTACAAGACAAATTAGTTCTATAAATCTCCACTTCAAGAGTAATGGAAGATTGGAAAAAGGAAGGAAACAGATCTTATTACTCCTGCAGATTCACCCAAAACAATGTTTGTCAAGCACTTTCAACACAGAATTCATACTTCTCACTACCTTCAGCATTGCTTAGCATCTCTTCCCTTGCCATCCCCCTGCCATTACATGAGCAGTGACACAGCTGCGTACGTGGAGAATCAGCATTAAGAAAGGTATGCCCTTTTCATTGCGGTGGCCATGAACAGAACTTGAGTACAAAGCAGCAGAGCCAGTGTACAACATAGCTCCAATCAGCAGAACACCCTAACCATCACTGCACTGACACTATAATGCAACACTCTGTTTTTCAGTGCTGCAGTACTTAATTTTTTGGACCAGACATTGCTATCAGGTTCAAAAGTTTTTGAAGACCAGCCTTTCCCCTTATCAAACTTTCTCATGGTAACATGATAAAGATGTTTTTTCCCATGCCTTTGGCAAGCCACCGACTGCAGTCTGGTAACTGCTCTTCAAGCTATGTGTGCATAGGCATTAGGGAAGCTGGAGTTGTTACACTGTCCCTGCTTCTCACATGCAAAGTGGCAGAGGGCTCTGTAGCTTTCCTTCCGAATAGGAGTTGACTTAGTATCACACATGTCCAAACAGAGTGAAGGTTCAGCGAGAAAAGACCTGGATTAAATTCTCATTGCAAGAGTAAGACCTTCAAACCTGAGACCTTAAAAAGAAACTGGTGGAAGAGAGACTATTTAACTTCGTATCTTTCAAGACAGATTTTTGATATCTAAACCAAGAACTAAAGAGCAGGCTGAGAAGGCTGCTGGTATCCTTCATGGTTGTTTAGCAATTACGAAAGAGAACAATGCCAAGAGACAAGACAAAATCCATCCAACTGCACTTATTGTTATGGAAATGCCCCCTAGAGAGTTTGGTCCTTCTCTGTGGAGCAATCTCAGGCTTGCTTGGAAGGATAACACTCACCACCTACTGCTGATGTTCTCCTGGGATTTGCTGAGTGATGTTGAGGAACTAGCCCCCCTCGAGTCTGGTGGGCTGATGTCCTCTACATGAGGCAGGGAGGGATGAGAAGGGGAGAAGCCACTTTGTGGGGAGGACGGGGTTCGTACTACAGAGCCCGGCAGGCTGTTGCCATCTGTGTCAGTCACAGAACTGCTGCTGCCCTGTCGGGTAGGAGTCCCTGTACATCGCACTGAATCGCCTCCCTCCTTGGCTTCTTGTTTCCGCTTGCGATACTCTAGTAGAGATACCTGAGAGAGAAAAATACAGCCATGAGCCAGGGAATGCAATGGACTGGGATAGGGGGAGTTACATGCCCACACACCGTTTTTAAAATCTATTTCTCTGGGTTTGCAGATAAAATTTTAAAAGGTATGTTGGGATTATAAAATCTTCCTGAATCTGCAGGCACTCTGGAAAAAGAGCTAAGTGGTACAAATCTGGATCGCTCATCGACTGCCACGCTCATCCACATTTTACTGTTTATGACCAATACTCCACTGGAAATACCCAGCTAGTTTGCCTCTCTAACAATCTGGAATTGCACATTACTTCAGTATATGCTTGCACATTCAAGCATCAAGCCTCTACATCCTCCTCTCAACACCCTTCACTCCCTCCCTCTGGTTTGTGATATTATATAAAATGTGTATCAGTATCTGTACCTCTCAAAACCAGAGAATAAGAGCCTCCTTCACAGAACTGGTATCTTCAGAGAGTCCTGTTCACCTGTATTTGTTCAGCCACATTAATGCTAAAAACTTGGTAAAGCCTCACACAAAATTTTAACCTGCTTAGAGCAGTTTCCTGCTTTGGTGTTTCACCAGCCAGTATTGCAACCTTCCAGCACTATCACCCAAATAAATTACTTTTAGCAAAGGTATAAAGTATTTTGTGCAAAGCAGCCTCAGATTTGTCAAAGGCACAGACCAAAAGGTCCCAGATAATGCAGTCTCGTAACACAGGGACAGCAGAACCAAAAATACACAAGTATTTCCAACTGAGCACTTACCTTTCACTGTGCATTCCCTTTAAGAGTTATTTTGAGGCACAGACCCCATAAAGTACTCGCAGAAGGCAGCTCTGCTGAAGAATTCATCAACTATGATTCAATGCCTGTATAGAAGGCTTTGAACAGGATATTTCCAAAAGTAACTCAACACATGAAGGTTGAAAAACAAAGGAAAAAATCAAAACCCTCCAGAAATGGAAAGGAAATAAGATATTCCATCCAGCTGGACACTTACACAAGTGATCCGAGTTACCACACTTGCAGTAAAAAAGAAAATCCAAGTACAGAAAAAGGCACCGATACGCATTTACACAAGTGTATGTTTATTTGTCCCACGAGTACCCAGTTTTATCATAGCAATGCCTGATTTGTCATTTTCACTCAGTTTTAGTCCCATGAGGGTCTCTGGCCTGCTATTAGAAACCAATACGCATTTGTTTTCTTTAAACAATATTCCTGTGGTTTTAGTTTCAAAGAGCTAAAATTTAAGTAACAACCTTCATCTACTTTTCTTGCAATGTTACCATGTTTCCATATTAATGGATATGTTCTAATACCTTCTAATAAACAGCCTGGGTTTTCTTTTGAAACATTAGACCCTCTTTTCTAGTAAGGACCCTTTTCATCCTGATAAATAAATGCCTCCACCAACTAGTACAGTTGCACTGTGTTATTGCTCTGGGTGTTGTCTCAGTTTAACAACTGTTTATGAAAGCTGCGAGCATCACGCTCTCCTTTCTGTGCTCCCCGAAGAGGTATTTTCATTGTGGTCTTTCTCTTCCACCTCTCACATCAAAATCTTGCCTAAAGACTAGCTCGCTCTCTTTTAACAACTTTTAGACTGTTTTCATCCAGACACTGGATGCCTGGATTACTTGCCCAACCTACATTTTAGTTGTATTCTGCTCTCTTTGTTCTCCCTGTAAGTCTTTCCCGTGATGCCAACTGTTCCTGCTCAGGCTCCCGCAATCTTAAGAGTTTCTTTTACAAGAATACTTGCCTTCTTCCTTTGTGGCGGATTCTGGGGAGCCGATCTGACGCCTTCACAAGCCCTCTCGCTGCAGGGAGACATGGATCCATGCACTGCCTCTTTAAGCAGCCCTGACTCGTGTCTGCTGAAATATCCTTCGGCAGGAGAGCTGCAGCATCCTGCTTCCGAATTCATTGGCTTCCTCTCTCCCAAAGGAGCAGATCCCCGCAACAAACCATCTACACGTGGCATAGCGTTCAACGGGGAGAAGGCATACATTAAATTAAACTCTGTCCGAAAAGCCTGATCAGAGCTTCGTAGCAGCATCTGTGCCTCCCCACTTTTCCCTGGGAAGTTCATCTCTGAAGTAGAGTTTATGGAGGGTTGTGGAGCCAGATCAGAGGATCCAAAGCTGAGCAGCGATGGTCGTTCTGGGCAGGTGTTTGCACCACAATCCACGTACCCACCCTTCAAATCCAGGTCGGATCGGAGGCAGAGCTAGAAAATCCAAGAAGGATATAGGAGGGGGGTGAGAAGTCAGGAAAAGGGTCAGGCAAAGGTGGGGAGAGAAACTTAATCAGAAAGTACTCTGCACAATGCCAGCTTACTGCCTTCCAGTTCCTTTTGATCACCCCTTTGGTCCTTTCCTGCACTGTTCTGCTCATTCTACAGGGGAATGACTGAGATTAAATAATAATTAGTTTAGCTGTCCAGTACGAGATGCCCTTCCTCCTTTAGCAGTCTCACTGCAGCATGAGGATAAGGCTCAGCACTATCCCCAGGCAGTCAATGAAGAAAACCCAGCATTTTCAATTGCCTCATATGTCACAAAGTTGATGTTAACACATAGTACTAGCTAGGTTCATTATGGGGAGAGAACAGAAAAGATCTGCTGTCCATTTGCTGTTTTATTAGCCAAGTTCTTGCCTGTCCCAAGCTTGACTGTCAGCCACTACTAACTTCCTAACAATAAAACGCTCAGGACCTCCAAGCCATTTATTTTCACTTATTGTGAGCTTTGGAAATCTCTAACAATAGTACATTCATTTAATTTATACTGCATTTCTACATTTTACATTCTCTAACAAAACCATAATGGCATCATCTTTGCGCTGTCACAGTTTCTGGAGCACTAGGCACTGACACAATGGTATACCCATTTATCTACTTGAAGTGCCAAAAAAACTCCAGGGCAACGGCATAATCGTCTCCTTCACCATGTTAATATCTCAGGATCTCAGACAATGAGCTTAACTGACACGATTTCATCCTCTTTGCAGGACTATAGTGCTTAGGGAAAAACACAGCAGCACCAGGCACCAGCTCTGCCCTACTGCTGCTGCTGAGAATGTTTCCTCTGCTGTATCACAGCTCCAAGTAATCTGCCACATTGGAGATGAGTGCGTATTTTCTACAATGAAACAGTCTCTGAGCAAGGTACTTCCACTCAGATTTTACAACAGGCCAGCAGGTAAACAAACTGCTACTTTCTGGCATCTCCTCCACATTTTAAGTCTGCAAGTGAACAGGTGATAAATCAAGGCTGAAGAGAGCAGGTCAGGTGCCTCACTGTGTCCTCATAAGTCAAAACTCCTAGAGAACGCTTTCCATTTTCTTCCCCCATAGTCATTTTCCTGCTACTGAGTAAATATCACACACCACTTATCTGCTGGGCCGGGGCTGAAGTTGATTATGGTATTTCCAGGGTCCCTGGACCTGTTGCTTTCACCTCAGTAGCTGAGACATACCAGGTCTTCACACTGCCTGTTTCCCACCAGTGTCAACAAGTGAATAATAAATTCCAGTCTTCAATTTGTTTGCTCTCTTGCGATAAGCCTGAAAACTCTCCTCAGCCTTATTGTGACTGATGCTCCACCCTTATTCCCACCCGCCTCCGCACTTCTCATCCCTTCCCTCCCACCACAGCCTCAAATACACACACAAGCACACACGCTCCCGGGCTCAAATGCAATTGAGACGGTGTGATAACTACCTCGGGTGACATGGACTCAGGCCTATGCGCAGGGGAACTCTCAGGGGAGGATACGTTCTAGAGGAGGGAAAAGCATCTTGTTATTCATCTACTTAAAAAGCAAAATAAAAATCAATTGAAAAACAAGCACAGCGGTTAGCAATGGCTATTCTAAACAAAGACTATCCCAGCAACTGGCCCCAGGCTGGACGGCAACTCCGTTGGTTAAGTGGTTTCTAAAGTTCCTGGAAGGACAGAGACAGGACTGGGTTACTATGCTTCATGCTATAACTTAGTACCCAAAACAGAGCACATAAATGTGAAGAAAAGAAGCATCTTATTCTTTATATTTCTGATGCTGTCAGATACAGAGTTTGCACCATGAAATATAGAGAAAGCCATTTATGGCGTTTAGTTTGAGGACAAGGGAGAAATGGAAAGCCTGATTTTGCGCAAACAAAAGGCAACTAAGATCCCTTAAACACTATAGGGAACTTTCATAGACTTTATACTAGAAAACAAAAAAACTTTCTGTTCTCTTCCTACAGCACCACAGGACTGAGGTATAAAGCTTTATACATGGTGAATTGTATTCGCTCAAGTTAGAATTGATGATAACTAAATGAAACAGACATGACACTAAAATAGAGATGTTACGAATAAGCTGCATTGAGGGAAATACAAAAGTTTGAACAAAGAAGCCTATGGTCTACCAAACTGTTAAGACTCTCTTACTAGAGGAAAAAAATGTGTAAAAGGGGCAAGTAAGGTACAGATGCCCAGTGAAATCCAAGCTTCCCATGTGTTATGTGGCAATAGAAATAACTAACACTACGGCGGGACAGGAAACCAGTGACTAGACTGTGGAGGTGCATGGCAACACTGCCCTGATCTGCCATCTCAACCAGAGCAAAGGTAAGGATCACTTCCAATCAAGGTCTGTACCTGAAACAGTCTTCCATCTCTCTCTTCGATGCTCCACAACCTTCCCTAACCTCTACAGATCTGCTCTCAAACAGCTTACAAGAAAGGGCTCTCAAAGAAAATAATTAAAAGCACACTAAGCTAAAAATACCACAGAGGACTGTTTGCCCTGTTGCAAAACAGGTGAGGGGTTCCTACAAAACAGTCCCTAGTACAGAGCAGTCTGTCACTGCATAATATTTTAATGGTTTTAACTGGCAGAGTGTGAGCAGCCAGCCTGAAGAGTTCCATTTTTTTAAATGAAAATATGCAGTACTAGAAAATAAAATTAAAACTGCAAACTGCATGATCCCTATTCACAGGCACAGAGCAGCAAAACAAAGTGGAAGGTCCTAGCTGGATGGACGCTGGTAACTCTCCCACAGAGTTTAGAGCAAGGGAAACCACCTACGCAGCCTGCTCAGTACTTCCGCAAATTTTTGCAAAAGTAAACTATCAAGAAATCAAAGGTATAAGGTATTTTCCTTCTACTCAATCAAGAGAAAGGAAACCCAAATGATATAGTTGAAGCTGATGTAAAGTATTTCTACTCCTAGCTGGATGGACGCTGGTAACTCTCCCACAGAGTTTAGAGCAAGGGAAACCACCTACGCAGCCTGCTCAGTACTTCCGCAAATTTTTGCAAAAGTAAACTATCAAGAAATCAAAGGTATAAGGTATTTTCCTTCTACTCAATCAAGAGAAAGGAAACCCAAATGATATAGTTGAAGCTGATGTAAAGTATTTCTACCATGCTT